CGAAAAAAGTAGGAAGTTGACATTGCTATTCTCATTCTCCAGTCCAATGTCATGTTTGAATTTTCCTTTGATAAACAAGAATGATTCTTTTGTATGTCCCAAACCAATTCTATGTTATATTTAGCATCATCAATTACATCATTCAGACAGGATGAAGTTCGTTTTCTGACCTCAGTTTTAAGCTTGTTTGAAGCAATGTCTCCTTTTTCTGAAGATGGATTGTATGTACTGACCAATGTGACGTTGATATAGAGACGCGGAACTTCAGAGAGTAAAAAGATAATCATAACACATAATATGAGAAAACACGATTTCTTTTCTGATCTTGAAGATACAATATGGCCTCGAATGAACTTTCGGCGACATAGAACAAATATAATAAAACACGTAGAGATCACCATAGCTAGTACGGCTAATGCTAAAACTATAGAGAACAAAAGGGGATAGAACGTAAGAACATACTTTTGTAATGTTTCTTGTGGATTTGACATAATACATGAATACCCTTCACCAGAACTTAGTTTAACAACAAACATTCTTGGTGAGTTAATAGCAATAGAAAGCATAACACATATTCCTAAAACTAATAAAGATTTTCTTTTAGTGTTGTTTGTATGGCTCCATATTGGGAAGAGCAAAACCACAATTTTCTGTAATCCAAGAGACGCTGTCAGTAATACAGATATAAGGTGAAATAGTTCTGCCAAGTTTGTAATTATATAATGGAACAAACAAAGAGGAAACTTTAAATCGACTAAACTGTTCGTTTCCTCTACAGAAACATTTAAACCACTTATTTCAATAAAATTTGATGAACCTCGAATTCCGATTTCATTATAATGCTGTGCGAACACTGGTTCAAACCCATATGTAAATAATGAAGTCAAACCATCCGCCACTGCAAGTCCTTGGAGAAGAACTGTTGACGGAGTTCGTATTTGTTTGTCGAATAAAGCAACACATATAAGAATGTTCATTATTATGGATATATACGAAACAGTTGGACCAGTCACAATATTAATCCAATAAGGAGTTCTTGCAAACAGTGTAAACAGCATCTTTGCTCAACTATGATATAGAATTAATGATTTTCCAATTTGATCATCGGAAGTCATCTGTTTTTTTTTATTCTTGTTGAGCCAACATAGTTAACAAATGTAGATTATTTATGAAGCATTTAATTGGTTTTCCATCAAATTTCTACAAATTTATCAGACGATGGTCCTGGCGGAATAAACTTTTTAAATGATTAATTTATTGATATGAGCTCGAATTTCTCTCATTACATTTCCTTATTTAAACAATAAAATAAAAATGGTAGTGAAAATTCTTACTATTGCGGAAATCGGATTTCTACATCACGTATAGCTGTTTTAATTAAACTTTTCATTGATTTTGTCTTTTATCTTTCATATTTCAATCAACAACTATTTTAAAAATGCAACGACCATAAAAACTGCTAAACTCAATGAATGATTACCAACATGACAACCATCCACCAGAGACCAAAAGACGAAGATGTAAGCAATTTATTAGAATGATTGTTTCTGCATTGTTGGCAAGTAGGCTTTTATTTAATGAACACTCTCTGATAAAGAGTTAGCAAATTGTTAATTGAGTAGAAACTAACCAAACAAAAGTTGTAATGTTTAGAAAAAATATTTATACATGTACTGTATGTGTGTTACCTTGTTACAATAACATAAATGGTACCAATGTTAATGCACCAGATACGCATTTCGACAATCAATGTTTTCTCAGTGATGCTCGAGGCCAAAATATTTGAAAATCCAAAATCTAATACAAATGTTGAAGAGCAGATCCAACCAAAAAGGACCTAAATTATAGCCAAATCTGGACAAGTAATCAGAGCTTTGCATGAGGGAGATATATTCCTTAATTTAAAAATAATCTAAAAGTTAACAGCAAATTTCATCCTTAACATATCCGTATTTTCGGTAGTACGTACCGAAGCACTGGCTACTCGTCTGGTGATACCCTCGTGAACTAACAGTCCACCAACAGAGGTAACGACCCCGTGGTAGTAATAACATAAACGGTACCAATTTATATTCGATCTAGATCACAATATTGGTCTTGAGATATTTGGTTGTAGGGTTTTTTTTGCAAAGATTTTTAAAAATATTTTAAAAACTTATATATATTGAATACATTTAAAGTAAAATCAAGAGTTATATAATTTTGACAGAGAAACATGGTATCAAAGGGATTTCAAAATTTACTAGAGTCATGGCACTAAAAAATGTATATCCTTTTATGATATAAGATAAATATATATTTGTAAACAAATATATTTTTATGGTTCAAATTTGTTTAACCTCCATTCAGTAAAGCGAATGAACATTTGCCATAACTGTAAAATGAAATGATTTAAAACGACTGAAAAAATATTTATTTTGAATTTCTGTCCTGTCAATTTTATTCAATATTCAAATCGTAGTTAACTAGAATATGCACAAGCCTGTCAACGCTTAGATTTTGAGATAGATCCAATCTTAATGGACTAGTATTGTCAGTTTTCCTGACAAATGTCGATTGTCTCTATGGCTTTTTCTCACAAGACAAACTAGCTTCACAATATTGCAGATAATGCAGAAACAATTACGATCAATCAATCAATCAATCAATCAATCAATCAATCAATCAATCAATCGTAATTTTCAATGAAACGATTTGTTTCTGATCGAGTAATTAATTTAGCTATTATTCATTTCGATATTATCAATAAATTTTAATTTTAGCTAAAATTATGCGTTATAATACGGTCGTGTCAATCAATCCTTCTCCTTTTGAATGGTACGACAGATACATTTCAGAGAAAAATGTTTCGACTTTGAAAAGAAAACTTGTTCGTTTTACTCAGTCGGTACTTTACGGAAGCCGGTTAGTGTCTGGGAGAATTGTGTTTTTTTTTTTTTTTTTTTTTTTATCTGTTTTCACTCTATCTATTAGCTAACTCGTTTAAACGACTTAGCTAAAATAAATGAAATAAAAAACAATTCCCCATGAAACTAACCGGCTTTCGTAATTGTTTTCTATAAAAAGTAAAATAACAAACATACCGAACTCCAAGGGAAATTCAAAACGGAAAGTCCCTTATCAAAATGCAAGATCAAAAGCTCAAACACATCAAACGAATGGAAAACAACTGTCATATTCCTGACTTGGTACAGGCATTTCCTTATGTAGAAAGGATTTAACCTGGTTTTATAGCTAGCTAAATCTCTCACTTGTATGACATTCGCATAAAATTCCATTATATTGACAACAAAGTGTGAACAAAGCACAATGCTGTGTTTTGAATGCTGTTGTTTGTCTCTTTGTCATAATTCGGTCCAGTATTCCTCAATTATTTATTCTGTATTGTAGAAAAAAAAAGAGGGACGAAAGATACCAGAGGGACAGTCAAACTCATAGATCGAAAACAAACTGACAACGTCATGGCCAAAAATAAAAAATTAAATAAATCAAGAATCTAAAATTGATACTTTAAGCTGGAAGAGTATTCGTTAAGGATCAAAATAAGCTAAAAATATTGATAGGTCATGGAGCTCCTTTTCGAGATATTTGATTTATAAAATATGGCGGGAAAAGGCTGACTCTGACTTTTACCTTATTATTGCATTGGTATTATTTGGGTCTCAAATCAAAGAAAGAAAATCAAGAATCTGCTTAACTTTTGTCAAATGACCTTTTATGAGCTATTAAGTCTTATATTAAAAGATAAATAGGTGTTATGGGGCAAAATATTTTACCTTGTATGGTATGGAAAAACACCAAGGAGTCCGAACATCTGACAAATTCCAAAACCTCACCTAAGTACATCCTTAAGGTAGATAGGGTGTCTTCCTCCATCTTGGATTTTGTAATACCTGAAAACAATCGGTCTAGATCTTAAATAGAATGTGCAAATTTTGAGAGTAGTAGGTAATTCATGTGTAAGAATTTTCATTTCAATATAGAAAATGACATGTTTTATCATATTTATGGTTGTATTTTACAAAAAACAGAAAACTTTTGTTTGATTCAATTTTTTCCAACTTTGCCACATAAGGGGAGGCAACTCAAATGTAAGGGCAGATAATTCAGATAAAGGTACTTTTACAATAGAATGTGTTAGGAATTTACCTATTTTATTATGTAGAGGATTGGATTGATGTTATTTCTAACGAATTTGTTTTTTACACATTTTTCATCTGTTTAGTTTGAAAAAAGAAAAACAAATATCAGACGAAAGAACAAACAGCAACACATTAAACTCTGAACAGTGACAATGAAGATTGAGAACACGAACCATACCACCCCAGGGGAAGTCAATAAAAGGGGGATGTATTTATACTACGACATTATTTAAGTATGCGAATTTAAAACATTCTAATCTTTTGACCTTTTTATTAGAATCCGCATATGATGCACCACCTGTCATGTTGAAGTATTTGTAGATCTTCCTTTACTGCTCATTTTTCTTGTTTACAATTTTTATCTTGCTATTAGAGTTTTAAAGATAATATGCAAAAACATGTTAAACAAAACAACAGTTAAGGGCAATCACTCTTAAAAGGAATTGGCTGACGATTTGGACCATGTTGACTTATTTTTAGATCCTCTCTTGCTGATCATTCAATCTATTCAGATTTCTATCCATCTATTATAGTTTTCATTATAAAGGGACAATTACTGCTATGAAGAGTCGACCAACCATTACAGCATTATCGACAGATTTGTAGATCTTGTTTTGCTGTTTAAAGTGACATTTCATGGATTATACTTTCAAAATTATAGGCAAAAGCACATTAAATTGGTACAAAACCATCATTCGGGTCAAATGAGCTAAAAAGGAAAACCAAATCAAACAAAAACGCTATCAAAATTACAACTGTTACATTACCTAAATACCAAAACTGTTTTATTTCATTATAAGTACTACTAGTACTGCTTTGTTTTTTATAATTCTAAAATGTTCCTTAGATGCAGCAACTTCAGACCTGAAAATAAAATAAAATAATTAAAATATAAAAAATACTTAATTAAATCTTTTCTTGAATTCTTCGTTGATAAATTAAGAAATTATTAAGAAAGTAAGGTTCAACCTCCCTCACGCAAACCTGATTTGACTATTCTTTTAAGATCGAATTTTGGTCATATAGCTCCACAAGTATTCAAGAACTTGTACATTCTTGGCTTTCAAATAATCGGGTTTACGCTACTTGATGACGGTCAATCTTGAAAAACGCTTCGAACGCACTAAATCTATATAGTTTTATTTTCATACTCTTCGTTGTATTTGTATTTGTTTAAGATCTTGTTTTAAATTGGTCATATAGCTCCACAAGTATTCAAGAACTTATACATTATTGGCTTTCAAATGTTTGGGTTAACGCTACATGATGAAGGTCAATCTTGAAAAACACTTCAAACTTAATCTATATAGTTTTATTTTCATACTCTTCGTTGTACTTGTATTTTAGTTTGCATTCCGGTGACATCTACGGAAAAACAAAAACACATCCACGGAAATTTTTAATAGGAGAAGGCATACATATTAGAAATTGTTTGGACAATTGTATCCGATGGTTTTCTGAAGGCAGTAAAGTGCGTTTTGGTGCGAGAGAGCATAATTGATATTAACCATTGATTATATAATTTATGAAAGAAGTTCGTTCGTCAATGAACATGGAACTACCTATGAGAGAATTGGTCTTTGTATTTGTTGGGGCTAGTGATACCGTCTTTTCAATGTGTGCCTTCCATACACGTTATTATTTGCCTAAAGCCTAACTAATGATATTTATTCCCGAAACTCTTATCGTTCTAAGTAAAATCAATAGCATACATTCTTGTGTTAAAGTTGCCTCAGCCTCGACTTATCAGAACCTCCGAGACAATGAATTTTGTAAATGCAACATAATTTTTTGATAATTTTTTTTTATACAATTAAGGATGTTCGTTACTCTGGATTTTTGAATTTTTGTCAGATGTTCGGAATCCTCTAGTTTTATCCATGTAGTGCCATTAAAAAAATTGGCCCATTAACCGCTACCTTTCTTTCCATAATTTGATTACATATAGTTTAATATGTCATCTTTGAAAATCTTATAAAATCCTTGTTATTTTTTCATCGTTTTTGAAAAAGGTACCAATGTTAAATGTATAAAAAATCTAGAGAGATTTATTTCCCGCTAAATTTTCAATGGTTTATATCTCTAAAACAAGCATACGGACCCTTCATTTTTTTCTGCTTATTTAGTTTCTTTATTTATATACTAATAATTTATAACAGTCTTTTAAAAAGCTTGTTATTTTGAAAAAGAGTAGCGAACATCCTTGAAGGTGAATAATAGCAATCTATGCCTGCACAATTTTATGATGTATTACTGACATACTAAGTTAGTATGTATTTCCTACGTTGAGCTATATTAAGACATACAAGTTTGTATTACAGCCCTAAACATAATTACGTTCTAAATGTAATTCCGCATGCACATATATCTTGCATATTTGACATTCAAGATGATTCTTTGCATGTTTGAAAGTAAGGGCCGAGAATGCTGTTCCTCCTTTAAATTTCTAGTCACTAAAGGTACACTGCAACTGAATTCAGTCATACTTACTGTAGCTTTGAATAAAAAGGAAGGTCTGATTATTATTTCAAAAGGCCATTCTCGTGAGCTGTCAAATAGGAATAGAAGCTTTCAAATTTAGTCCGATGTTCAAATCTCGAAATTAGATAAAGAAGAGACAAATCAAGGCAACAAACAATCGGTGAGGGAATCGTATGAACTCCAAGATACCGAGTATGTCGGCAAGGTAAGCATCTCCTACTATGCATGCATCACGCAAAATACGAATTCACACTAGTTAAAATGGCACAATAAGAAAACTTACAACCTCAAGTATCTGTTTATAATAGGATTTTATATGTGTGTGTAAAATGCACATATTCAAGCAAACAAATTACATATAATTCAGAGTTTTGTATAAAGTCTTTGCAAACATTATTTATTTTGACTTTTATATAAAGACTGTAAAAGGATTGGGTACGTCTTCGAAATGCACCTTTCTTATACATATTTTACAATTCGTTTTATCCACTAATAATTGTTTACCCTTTTGTATAGAATGCTAAAATGTTGACCTATTTAACATAAATGTCATTTTGTTTACATTTGTTAAAAAAGTAGTCTAAATAAAAGCAGCAGTAGTATATCGCTGTTCGAAATTCATAAATCGATTGAGAAAAAACAAATCCGGGTTACAAACTAAAACTGAGGGACACACATCAATTATAAGAGGAGAACAAAGATACAACAGAAACACTAAAATGCAACACACACAGAAACTAACTTAAAGGTAACTATAGCCATTTATATTAGTGGATTTGGTCCTTTGTGGTGGAAATAGTCCCATGAACATGTAGCAGGTCTCACTGGACAGGAACTGAAAAATTACATTTTCAATATCATTATGGCCACTTCGAATCAAAAATCAAAACTTATTATAAATCTATTTAAAGACATCGTTAAAATAAAAAAAGAAAGTAGTCTCTCATAGATCAGAATATTATTTTTGCAATGTGTGGCACGTATTTGCGTTAACGCTTAAATATGTTTTTTTTTTTCATTTAATTCAAAGCTTTAAAAATTCATTATCTTTTTACGTTATTATAAGTATGAACATTCATTTTTTGCAATGTGTGGCACATATTTGCGTTAACGCTTAAATATGTTTTTTTTCCATTTAATTCAAAGCTTAAAAAATTCATGATCTTTTTACGTTATTATAAGTATGAACATTCATTATTTGCAATGTGTGGCACGTATTTGCGTTCACGCTTAAATATGTTTTTTCATTTAATTCAAAGCTTTAAAAATTCATGATCTTTTTACGTTATTATAAGTATTTTGTAAAGTTCATTTGGCATAATGTACATTAATATTTTTCTAATGCATATTTACCTTGCTTTGTGATTGGGTCGTGTAGGTGGATTTACACCAAATCCAACCACAAAGCTCCTTCCAGTGTCACCTAACGCATATCCAATCTGACTTTCTGCCCATTTTCTATTTTCTGTTGGATGCAACCCTGTCTCAGCAGCCAAAAGTGCCATAAATGCCATATTTGCTTTATGAAAATGTATCAGAAAATAAAAATATTATAAAATTATAATGGTCGCTACTGACTTGAAAAACTTAACTGCATACACGTAACTTAAAGTTTTATATGTCAAAGTAACAATTAAAACATGGAAAAATACATCGTTTCCCTAACAAAAAGTATTCATGTAATGAATTATCTTTCAAGTGAATAAAATTGAACAAACAATATTTATTTCGCTCTTTATTAAATCAATAAAGAAAAGAAAAAGTTTTGAAAAATGGATACTAAAATAATGTTTATATAACCTATTCCAAGTCAAAACATCGTCAGTGGTTCATTTAATGATCTTCAAATATATTTACAATTTTGTATTACTTTTGGAGAATGTGAAATTGATGGCAGATCTTTGTCCATTTGAATTTGTTAAGAACTTTTCATGACTCGGTACGGTTTAGGGCTTGACAGCATACACTAGAAACCTTGTTGAGTTAACATCTGGACGAATGTCTTTCATTGCAACCGTTGTTATATCAAAATACATCTCACTACACCTTAAAGTGTGATGTTTCAATTTAAATTTGCAATCTTTTTTTTATCAATTTGTTTAAACCTATACTGATGTTTTTTTTTTTATTTTCTAGATTGATATAGTGATGCACTAGAATTGTATATATTCAAAAATGTTTCAATAAATTTAGTTATTTAAAAGTAACCGTGCCCATTTGGGAATTCGATGGACGTTACTCGCTGTGAGTATGTTTATAATGATTTTTCTTAAATGACTTGAAATTGCCTTCAAATTCAGTACATATGTGACGTAATGTTTAGGACCCTTTTTTAAATATTATTAGAAAACAACGACAGTTTTAACTGTTCCAGTTCATGCTGTGTAGATCACATACAAAAACGGTTGGCCTTGTAAACACCTCTGTTCTGTGGGTAAAAAAATGTGTCATGAAACTAGCACAGTCTAGACAATTTTTTATTTATGTAATGTGACAACACGGCATGAAACTTATTACCGAATTTGAACAAATATGAGCAGCACGACGGGTGCCACATGTTCATCAGGTTCTGCCTATCTTCTGGGACACCTTAGGTCAATGTCGTTTTTTTTAGCCAGGGATCAGGAGTCCTGCTGTTCAGTCTTAAGTTTTCTATGTTGTTGTTTTTTCTTTGCCTTGACTTTTAGTTTGAATTGCTCTTCGATATCTTCCGTTTCCGTTTCGGCTTTAAAGTGTTTACAGAATACTTGAATTCGCAAAAGAAGTTAAAATAATAAGAAACAATCACAACTTATAACAGCTTGAAGGATTACCATATTTCCTGTATTTAGTTCATCCCATGATTGACCCCATGCTGGTCCTGGGACATGGAAAGTCTCTGCATCAGTCAGGTATTCAGACATATTAATTGCCATGTAAAACCAAACAGCTCCCCAAGGCAGTTCTTCACCATAGTAATAAGAACAAAAATGGAATGTATTCTAAACAAGAGATAACCAAAAAGTACAGGAAAAAATGCACCACTAAGCAAAATCTGTATCCTTCTCTAAAAACAACTTTATACCAGGGGAAGTGTTGAGCACTTATAAAAATGTAAAACTCCGCCAATTTTTGTTTGTTTTTGTCCAAGTCAGGAGCCTGCAATTCAGATGTCGTTCATTGCTGTTTGCCAAATTTTTTTTTCGATAATGATTTTTTTAGCAGAAATCAGGTTGTTGTATTTCTGTTTTGAATTGTTTTACATTTTGTTATACTGGTTCCTTTTGGTAGCTTTCTGTTGTATGTGTTCAACTCATTGCTATAAGATAAATGTTTAGAATGCTACACTCACTAATACAATACCCTAATGCCAGAGGTATGATACCAATCATAAAAACTTTTTCTAAGTTTACAGTGATAAATCCGGAGTTTACAAAAGTCTCTTGAAAAGTTTTGTACAAACATCATGTTCTTTATATCAATCACATTTTCGATTATGAATATATTATCACTAACTTGTAATAAGCAGCTGCTTCCGGGACGCTTTCACTGTATTTCCCTTTGTGATCTTTTGTAAATTTATATATTTGTTTTGCGTGTGTCAAGAGTTCTGCAGAAAAAGCAGGATCTGTAATAAAAGATATTTGATTTAATAAAATTAGTTTTATCTTTTTTTTTCACAAGGAAACTTTTGGAGGAAAGAGCCAAAAAGATATAGGAGACACCGATGATATTTTCAGTTAATAAAATTTCATCTGAATAAAACACCTCTTCATTATATAAAGAAGCAACTTGTTTTTAAGGTTTAAATTTTCTGTGGTTTTTTGTCAAATAAATCTAAACCTCTTTATTGGTTTTAGAAACGGAGAGGCGGAAGATAAAAAGAGGTCAAAACTGAAAACGCCATGGCAATAATAAACGAAAACGACGAAAATAGGAACAAGTCCACAAGACACTACATAAAACCTAAAGACTTTAAAGGACAAACCGTACTAAAATCCCGTGGTAGTATCAGGTGATTCAGAAGGGAAAGGTTTTTGCTCCACATATTTATATGCATTTTGAGCGTTGAGATATGGTACTAAAAAAACCCAAAGAGTTTGAATAATAAAAACTATAACAAACAATCTAACCTGTAACCTTAAACATTTAAAAAGAAACCAATTTTAATGCGGCAGATATGCATTGCAATTACATATTGTCTCCTTAGTGGTACACCAAACCAAAATATTTGTAAATCAAAAACATAACACACGATGACGAAGACCTAATCTGAATTAGTATACCAAACACGAAAAATGAATTATGAGGAATATACATTCCTTAATTCAAACTGATTTCCTATGTTTCTTTTTTTTTCATTTTGACTAAGTGTGAATTCGTATCAACTTCACAAATAATACATGATAGTCTTGAAATATAGATTCTGCATACTGACGTTGTTTATCATCTTAACAACGTGTAATATTGTTCTTTCATTTGTCTTTGTTCTATTATTAATATTACTTTTACTGTTTGGTTTGTTTTCTGTGATATCCATTTGACGTGGCTAGGTACTTATACATCCCGTCAATGTGTTTGTATTATCTTTTATTTTTGCTGGTGTGTTTTGTATATGCGACTTTTTGTGTTTCTGTGGTTCTTATAACGTGACTCTGTACTTTAAAAGATCCCGGCATTATGTTATTGTTCTATTATATGTCATTATGTTATTGTTCTATTATATGTCATTATGTTATTGTTCTATTATAAATTTGAAAATACTTTGAACGACAAACGACAAATTTATTTTACTCGCGTAGTGGTATTAACCATATGTGGATTCTTAAAAATTCTAAAGAACTTCTGGACAATTTTAAATCTCGGTCTATTTCTGAAATTAATTCTAACATAACTTTTGATTTTTTAACCCTGTATACCAACATTCCCCATTGAATGACAAACTTTTTTCTTATGTGACGTTTACATTTTCTGACGTCAGACACGCGAAGCAATGAATGTGGTTTTTAATTTGATAGATGCTTTTGTGCTTTTTTGTAAATAATTGTTTGTTTAACAGTGATGACTGCTGTACCCATATTTTGACTATTTTATTTATAATGTCTGTTTTGTTCACGCATCGTTGTAAATATAACGGAATTTGATAAGACTGTCGTACAAGTGAGAGGTTTAGCGCTATAAAACCAGGTTCAATCCACCATTTTCTACATTTGAAAATGCCTGTACCAAGTCAGGAATATGACAGTTGTTGTCCATTCGTTTGATGTGTTTTGTCATTTGATTTTGCCATGTGATTAGGGACTTTCCGATTGAATTTTCCTCGGAGTTCAGTATTTTTGTGATTTTACTTTTTTCGTATAACGCCTTCCCTGTCGACGCACCGCTGTATTGCTCTTTTCAGTGTTTATGCGATTCCCCCAGTTGTTGCTCGTTCTCTTTATTTGTCTCTTCAAAATCAATTTACGAGATTTAGACATCGGTAAATTCCTATCGCTTTAATTCATCACTGAACATTTTATACATTACAGCCACAGTAGTTAATAGTTATCTATGACAAACGAGACGACTTTAATTTAGAAATAATACATTTCCCCCACCTTAGCAGCAATATACGAACTCCACCTGCAAATGGGATATACATTTCCGAACTGATTCTTGTATTGAAGAGCCTGTAGCTGCTACTCAGACTTTATAAAACGTCAACAACGTCTGAGCAGAACGTTGACTAGCGTTATGTCAAAGAACGTCTCGTCTTTTTTTTTAAAAAGATACCAAGACATTGTTGATAAATATTCCGTATCAACTTCACAAATAATACATGATGGTCTTGAAGTATAGATTCTATGTATTGACGTTGCTTATCATCTTAACTACGTCGACTGCTGTACCCCAATTTTTGACATTTTTACCTATTATGCCTGTTTGTTTTTGCTCACACATTGTTATTAGTATAATGTAATTCTATGCGACTGTCATACAAGTATGAGGCTTAGCAGGTGATAAAACCAGGTTCAATCCTACATGTTCTTCATAAGAAAATGTCTGTACCAAGTCAGGAATATGACAGTTGTTTTCCATTTGTTTGATGTGTTTGAGCTTTCCATTATTATATTTGTTATTTTACTTTTTACCGATGCTAAATCTTGAAAACGAAAAACCAATTAAACACACCAAAACTGAGAATATCGCATCAAATGCATAAGGACCGAGACAGGGTTCGTTGACAGGAAAAGCTTCTACTGATTTTTGTGCATCACCCGTCGTGCGACATAAAACAATATGAGTATTTTCAAACCAGTATCGATGTACTGATTTACTGGGAAGGTAATACACTTACTATCATGATTCAAATATATATATTTTTTAAAATGGTAAATGCAAAAATTGCATTTGTTAGAGTCCAGAAAAAAAGGAATCAAGTTAGGGTTTTTTGTTTGTTTTATTCGTTTTTTCCTTCTGTTTAGATGTTTGTTTTTGTCGTATTTTCTTTATTTCAAAAATGTCTAGAAAATTTGATTACGGTAGATAGTATTAAGCTTAAGCACAATATTAATAATAACCTTTGTCTTTGAATACCATAGATCCAACAGCCATAGCCGCGGCATATTCTCCAGCTACGTCAATTCCTGGTTTTCTTGCATTGATTTTAAAAGCTTTTCTATCCATTGTCATATCTTCGGGTCTCTTTCAAACGTAGTGGTCCTTTGTGCCTTCTCCTACCTTAATATTCAATATAAACGCAGTAAAAAAAACGAATAAAAGTTATTAAAGTAAAGAGTAAGCCTTGCTTTTCTTTAAATGAGAGAAAAAAAATAAATTCGTCAGTTTCATCAATGCTTTGAAGTGAAACAGAATAAAAAAATCTGTGTTTCTAAGAAGCTTAAATGTCATTTATGAAAATGCTGACACAAACACTCATACAGAAAGTTTTAGTAACATTTTATATAAGTTCATTTGCCCACATTAAACAAGAAACAAAACTAAATACTGTTTTCGTGGATTTCGTAGAATAACCATGAATTTAAATGTTTAACTACATGAACTACACATTATATATAGGATTGTTTGCAGACTTTGCGAAAAACCACGAAATAAAATATCCACGGAAATGCAATTTTTTCTCAAATAACGACTGATTCATTGGTTGATTAGTGTTTAACGCCAATAAAATGACTTCCTAATCTATGAAGAATGGAGTCGAGCGCACCTGCCACGTGCGGGTTTCGAACTCACAACCTCAGTGTTGACAGACTAGTGACACAGTATTTGCACTACTTAAATCACTCGGCCACCGAGGCCTCTCAAACCAAGAAAATTGGTATTCACGAAAAAATATGAATTTATAGTATGCTCTTTTCGTATTGCTATCAATTTAAAAAAAAACTGGTTTCCGGCATACATAAAAACAAAAGGCCAAAACAAAGCTATAAACGGCCCCCGGATGAAACAAATAGAAAACCAAAGACCTGATGGAACTCTAGAAAGGATATAAGAATAAAAAGATGCGGAAAGATTGCCAATTCGAACACTATCCACAAGAGACCAAATGACGTAGAACTATAGGTGACCGGACGACCTTCAATGATGAGCAAAACTCATACCGCATAGGAAGCTATAAAAGGTCCCGACATAACAAATTGAAGTGATGAATTACACAAGCTGAAATAATTGACAATTGATCAACAAAACATTTGTTTTAGATTTAATGGTCAGTATACCAATGTGCTTCAAGTTGATTCATGGATGGATTTGTACACGTCACCCTCCAACATGATGTCAAAGGGAAATAACTCTGACTGATATTTTGCAAATGGAACGTGAATCGATAATTTGATGGTGAAATGTCTCATTCGTTCTTATTTTAAGCACTCGCTTACAAATATCGTTCTACATTTTAAAACTACTTTACCTGAACATAAAGCTCGTTCACTTCTGTGTGACATTTAATCAGCCATTCAAGTGGCCATCTTATACAGTCGTACATAGCGTCAAGTTGTCCTCTGGCTTGTTAAGAATCTCTGTAATGTAGAAGACTCCATGATAGCAATGCGGTTGATGCCGCCATGGGAAATCCAAATTTAACATAGTCCCCAGTTGAAAATATATTATTTCAGTGAGACGTTTGCATGTTTTGTCTATAATTATTGAATCTATAGAAGACCTCTAGATGTTTTGTCGATCACTGTAATTTATGGTTGCTATTTCAATGATGTCAATTCCTGATCACAGTTTGTTAGATCATTTTAGCTATTCTCATAACTTCCGATTGTTGTCGTCCATGTTAACCTTATTATTATAGGAGTCTTGATAATAATTGACAACGTTTACCCATTTTTCTTTTCTGCTATAACCTTGCAAAGTAAAAAGATTTATAAAGCAAACATGAAAAGCTGGACAGGATCTTCTAACAGGACTCAATTTTCAGTCTACTATTTTGGGGGTAGTTGCTCTCCCAGACGATTCCCAGCCGATTCATCTTACCAATGTGAGTGATTATACTTACATTTTTAAAACTATTATAGCTCGTCTGAAACTTAGTACAGTATAAATGAACAGCAACACAAATTTTACAAAAATGTTTATAGAATTGAAATCATCAATTGATACCTAACATGAGTTGTTGCAACCAAATAATACAAAAAAGTAAATAATCAAAAAATACCGAACTCTAAGAAAAATTTAAAACGGAAAAGTCCCTTATCAAATGGCAAAATCAAAAGCTCAAACACATCAAACGAATAGAAAACAACTGTCACATTCCTGACTTGGTATAACCAATGCCTTATGTAGAAAACAGTGGAATTAACCTGGTTTTATAGCTAACTAAAGCTCTCACTTGTTTGATAGTCGCATATAATTCCAATTTTTGCAAAAATGCCAATTGAGCAATACAGGCTCCTGTGAGCCTCTAGTTCATAAATGAAAAATAGTATTAAATAAATGAATTAATCAATTAACTAGATGGTGTTAGCTATCCTTTAAATGTCCCTCTTTAGGCATACAGCTCAGCAAGCATTTTTACATATTTTGCTTTCATTTTTTTTTTTGGTTTTGACCGTTCATGGGGAATATAACCCCAGGAAAGCGCTTTGGATGCACCAAATTCATAAAGTATTATATATTGTTATGATTATATCCCACATCTCCCTCTTTCATACATAAGAAAAAAAAGAAAGAAATTCATAATTCAAATGAGAATACCATAATACAATCCACCAGTTAAATCTTCTCTTTTGTTTCCCCTGTCTTGTAAAGCTGAATCACTTCGCCATGGTATCGGATTATCTGCTTGAAGTCTAACAGATATTTGCGCGACATAGAATAGAATTGATTTCCAGATAATTGTAGGGAGTTCCGTCACCTGATATGAGGTAACAAAATGTAAAATAAAAAATTGAAAAAGTAAAAGAGAGGTGAAAGTTACCAAAGGGACATTCAAACTCATAAGTCGAAAAGAACCTGATAATGCCACAGCAAATGAAGAGTAAAGTATACAATATAAATCACGGCTATTCTTTTTCATTGTAAGTAAAATTAATTAAATTTTGTTCTTTTTAACTTCTACGACCTATTCGATGATAAGATACATGCAATATCTATACTACCTGTTCAATTCTATTCTGCTCCCTCCCCCTCCCTCCAACCCCCCAAAAATTTTCCTGTACATTGACAGTTAGATAATGGTGGTAAGGTGAGACCATCAGTTCCCATATTCTTCAAAATTGCCATTGCAGTAGGCGCATTACCACCGGAAGTAGCACCTCTAATTGTAATATCAAAAGTAGTTCCAGCATGTTGGATTCCGTTGTAGTCTTGGTTAACTATGCAATAGACTTTGTTGTCAGCTGAATGACGAACTACAGTTCCCATCCATTACTAAAATGTAAAATAATCTTGAGAAAAATGTAAAATAACTGGAAAATTTATTATTTTTTGTGCCGAATTTAAACTAAATTTATCATCGATGAAAATCTTAAACGATAGCGTTTGGTATCGTCTACTTCGGGTGCACTATACTCATTACATTTTCACAAAAGTTCGCCAAAACATACTTTTTGTTACTACAAATGTATTGTTGTCCTGCGTTGTGGTGGTTTTTAATTTTGATTTTGTTATCAATAGATTTACACAAAATGTTATTGTTACTCAGCTGCGAACATTTACTCTCCTACATTTTGTCGATACCTACAGTTTGGCATTTCACAAGAATATGTCTTCCCTGACCGTTTTTTTACGACTTTACACTAAATCTATTGAATGTGTACTGGTTGATATTTAAGTATTGGATGCATGTTTTTTATAAATGATTATCGGCTTTGAACTAGCTTTCAATAAAGGTGAGTACTTTCAGTTCTTAACTTTGAGTAAAACATGACGGATTCGGGATCTACCAAAGGGTTCTGCCCCTGGTTTTTGATGAACGATATTTCCCTTTCTGGAAGATGATTTTGACAGGCTCTCAAAATCAAATATTGAAAATTTTAAATACACACTAGAACACATGTCGCGGGTCCATGACTGGATTAAAGTACCTTATTGTTACCTTGATTTTTAATATTCGCATTGTCATCTGATAAAGTCATGCTGATTGTAAAGTGTACAGTTTTCTCTGCTTTCAAAATCTTTCTGTTTGAACCCGTCCTGGTTTTCGTAATAGAATAAACTTACTATTAACTAAATTCAATTTTAAAACTAATTAACTAAAATCAATTGAAGTGGAAGAAAACTGACTTGTTAAATAGTGTACTATAGTAGAACATAGATATAAAACAACTACTGGAAAAATTCCAGATTCTCCTGATAGAGAAGGGATTTACAGAAGTAACAGGTAACTACCGGAAACTACATGTGACATTCACTATTGGTATCGGTATTGGATTCGACCCGGAACTTATTAATTATTAATAATATTGATTATGTGGAAATTAAAAACAAAAGGGCCTAGAATTGTGTAATTTTTAAACAACACCATTGTACTATTTTGATTATATATAAAGTTGAACTCTTTGAGTCGTCGTTTTAACATCATGCCGGCTAACAAATTGGACTTAGTAATTTTAGTGGTATAGATGTGTTGAATGGCAGTAAACCATAATAGAATTAACATCGTCATTGATATCAATGAACAAAACCTCCAGATGTAAATTTATAGATTTCATCCTACTGCTTTCAAAGAAGATACAAATACTTTTAGACAAACAATTGGACAAGTAATATGTGACCGAAAAAAAGGTAATACTTACAGAAAGATATGTTACCGGAGAAGAAAATGTAGTTGTTACTTCCCATCCCACTATTTCTTCTGTGAGGTCAAACACCAAGTGACCTTCGAAATGTCCATTGCCTTTGTCTTACACTTTAGTCATAGATACTGATAAGTTGGAAGCCATGGCAACAGCCGGCAAAATTATCAGTAATGAAAGTAGCTCTAGCATTGTGATAGTGAATATCTATCAACGAAATTTACTCTAAATTTAACAACGAAATATACTCTAAATTGCAGCACTATTTTTTTATCAATTTTTGTCTGTTTGAGTTGCTCACCCTATTTTGTCAATAGAACGGAACTATAAACAACTGTCATACCAGTGGAAGTTTAGGCTAGATATAAAACCAGGTTTTACCCATCATTTTATTCGGAAAATGCCTGTACTACGTCAGGAATATGGCAGTAAGTAATTTGGTTAAACATGTTTCCCCTATATATTAAGAGATATACGTTGTCGATGTGAGAAGCAAAAAAGCATGATAACTACGATTACTAGTTCCGTTTGTTGATAACGTTTGTTTTTGTGAATTTTTATTTTGGACTTTGGACCTCTCCTTTTTGACCTTGGAGTTTGGTATTTTTGTTATACTTTTCTACTAGTAGTCTGTAAATTAGGAAATATTTTTTTGATGAAATTATTGTTTATTATTTTTTCATTCTTTTTTTTTTTTTTTAATACTTTTATGTGGTTTTATTCGATGACGTTGTAAATACTTACGTTTTTTTCTTTTATTTCTTTGAACTCGAAACGTAAAACAACAAATTGTTTACAAAGTAATGAAAACATAGAGTGTCACTGATGAGTCTTTTAAAGACGAAACGCGCGTCTGACGTACAAAATTTTAATCCTGGTATCTATGATGAGTTTATATATAGACCAAAGATGTTTAATCGTTTGTTTTTGGTACGCATGCTGAATATAAAGAGATTGTATATCTTTTACCCTCTAAGTGGTATATATGGAACACCACAGCTGCATTATGATCCCTTATGATGACGATAATAATATCATTAAGGGTTGAGAAATAACATTAAGCAAATTTTTCTTTACTTTTACGACATTTGACTTGACTACTCTGTCGATTTGCTATATCACTAAGATAAATTTATATACTATACAGACGTTTTGATATAACATGGAGCTACCTTTTCATACTATTCTGTCAATTTACTTTGTCATGAAGACATTCTTTCATACTATGATGACATCTTGATATAACATGGAACGACTTTTTCATACTATTTTGTCATTTTACTATACTATTATGTGATATTGCTATATCATACAGATACATTTCATACTATAAAGACATCTTTATATAACATTGAGCAACTTTTTCATAATATTTTGTCACCTCACTATACTATTATGTCATGTTACTATCTTATTACGATACATTTGTATACTATACAATCATCTCGAAATAACATAGAACAACGTTTTCATGCTACTCTGTCATATTACTATCTTATGAAGACATATCTTAATACCGCGAGGTGTTTTTTATATACAAGTAGACTATTTGACTACAGTACAATAAAATTGAGAATGGAAATGGGGAATGTGTCAAAGAGACAACAACCCGACCATAGAACAGACAACAGCAGAAGGTCACCAACAGGTCTTCAATGTAGCGAGAAATTCCCGCACCCGGAGGCGTCCTTCAGCTGGCCCCTAAACAAATATATATACTAGTTCAGTGATAATGAACGCCATACTAAACTCCAAATTGTACACAAGAAACTAAACTGAAAAATAATACAAGACTGACAAAGGCTAGAGGTTCCTGACTTGGGACAGGCGCAAAAATGCGGCGGGGTTAAACATGTTTATGAGATCTCAACCCTCCCCCTATACCTCTAGCCAATGTAGAAAAGTAAACGCATAACAATCTTGCTCGGATTCACACTCCATAATCTAGTATATTATAAGAGCATAAACCTGAAGACCGTTTCATCGTACTTTCAGAAGACAATTCTATTTTGTCTTTATTTCAAAGTTATTTCAAGTTAATTTATAGATGATCATCCATCTGTTTTATACAAGTGGGAAAATTCTATTAATTTTTAATTCTTATCAATCTCTAGGAAATTCATATTATTTCTCCAGAAAAACAAATTAAAAAATTGAAGAAACTGTTCATGGGACACAGATGCCCCCGCTTCCACATAAGTTCTAAAGGGGCATAACTCTTGAACGGTAACAGTTACACCTAAATTCGAAATTGATTTGTATATTGTGGTTGTAAGCATTGTGTATAAGTTTTAAATCATTTGGCCAAGCCAAACTAAAGTTCAAGCGCAGAAACCAATGGATGGATAAGGTTAACACTCAATGCCCCCTTCGCCTAGCGACAAGGGCATATAAATAATATTTACTCTAAACAAAGTTGAGCGGTTTAAGATGCATGGGCGTCGAGAAGGCTATCAATCAAAGCATCATGGATGTTTTGATCCAGCCAATTTTGTAGCTAGTCTGATATTTTTTCTGACCATATTTTCAATATTACTTTTGTTATTCTTATATCCATAATCTCACTGTTAAATTTTTATTCCAGTTCCCAAAGATGGAGAATTTTGTAATATTGATGCAAATTATTTTGGTATTTCAATTGAAGACACTGTCAGATTTTTTTACATCTTTTTTTTTAGAAACATTTGAAATTCAATGATTTTGACAAGAATGTTAAATAAAATCTTCAAACGTGTAGCATATTTTCATATGCTTTTAATAATAATTGGCTTAATAATTTCCTAAAGAGGCATTCTCAACAACACCAAAAAAAAATATATAACTTTTTTTTATCTAAATTGGTGTTCATGCATTAATAATGTTAAGGAAAAAATACATTTCCTGTATTCAAATATACATGTACAAAAACCTAATGCTGAGTTAAATCGAATTACTGTTAAATAGCAATATAATAGGGAATATACAAATAAATTTATTGCAGAAAATGTTTAGATAAGAGTCATGCAATTGTGTTTATTGTTTCAACCAAATTACTGATAATTGTAGCTTAAATTGACCTTAATTATTAACTTATGTCAGCATGTTCAGATGATTATGACACTGATTTACAAGTGAAATAAAATCTGGTTGCATTTTTTATACATATTTTATTTTTAGTCTTTTCTTTGAAAAAAAAAAAAATCTTATTAATCAGTCAGCATTTTACACAAAATTAACAGAATAATTCAATGTGTTGATCAAAATAAATAAGAAGTACATTATTGAGGTCAAGATTTTGTTTATTCAGTTAGATGTGTAATAGATTGAATACACAAATTCTTGACCTCAATACCAGTATGATTATTTATTGTCATGATATTGATATATTAACTGTGGTCAATTACAGCTGCAGTTGAGTGGAGTTGAAACCAATTAATACTTACACCTTGGGTGTAATTGTTTGAAAATAGTGACCTTTGTCTATCATACTTGTATTGTATCAATAATCTTATTTGCCTAATGGAAGAATTGGAATTATAGCATTTCAAAAAAAAAGTGTGGGAATCTACTCT